CACCACTATTACATGCTCTCTTTATGTCTTTTTCTTTCTTTAATCTGTTTTGTGTATCTTACTTTTTTAATTGTGTGTGCATACAAACATTTACTGATGTGAAACAATATGAATCTTGACTCTGTTGATTTGATTTCTTCATATTCTGAAGCAACCACACATTTGTTTCTGCTTTTCATGTGGTTTTATTTGTATGATATAAAACTTATGTTTCTTTCTCTCTTCTTTCTTTTTTCTTGTCTTCCTTACACAGGAACACATGCATACGCACATACAGACATTAGTTTTAAATCTGTCCGTTGTCTTACCCAATTCACTTGCACATCAGTTCTTAAACCCACATAGGAAAACCCTTTCTGTTATTACATCAGCACGTTGGTTGAACACACACACACACAAATACACACACAGAGAAACATAAGGTGAAAACCTGGTCTAAGGTGGAAGCGAGACTTCAACCCTGTTACAACTTCAATTACCATAAAACTGCTCCTCTCTTCCTCTCTCACCTCCGCGCCCTCTCACTGTTTCCTTGTCTGTGCCTCTTTAAATGCTTTCTCCCTCTTGTGCTTTTTGTCATCCCTCTTTCTCTTTTCTGTGATCAAATTTTATTTGCCTTCCTACTGCTGTCTCCACTCTGTCCCACACTTCTCGCCTTCCTTTATTCGCTCATTCTCTTATCATATCATTGACCATCTGAAATCAATCCATCCTTCTTTTCCTCTCTCTTTCCACGCTTGCAGGTTCTCTACTCAAAACCACTTAGGTGTCAAAGGCATTTCACTCGCAATCCTTCAACTCTTCAAGAACACACACACACACACACACACACACACACACACATACTGATACAGAGTGACGCCAGTGTAGTATAAAATCTATGCTTATGTGATCAGTGCAGATCATGCTGTTGACAGACAGCAATATTACCACTTTAGGAATAATTCACCTTAATCACTGTCACTGTGTGTGTGCGCACCTGTGCGTGTGCATGACTCCATGTCCAGTATGTAAAAACAGTGGTGCAATATTTATACGAGTGTGAATGATAACAGGTATGGTACTTAACCATTTGTTCAGGTAGAATACATATTATTAACAATGTTATCTAATATAATTTACACACACTGTGCTCTATTTAACATTAAAGTGTTGCTGCTGTGACATTTGTTTCTGTGTGAGTGTGTAGAAGTAGAAGCAGTAGACTGAGCAGAGGCAGACTGTTAGTTGACATAATAATTAAAACATATAATTGAGGTGTTTAACCTCTGTGGATTTCTTCTTTTCTTTCATGGATCTTTCTTTTTCTCTCATTGTTCTATTCCTATCTCATTTCCTTTTTATCCCTCACTTCATCTCTCCTTTTCTCTCTCATTTCATTTTTTTCTCATTCTCCTTTCTTCTTTTGTTTACTAGCCCATCCATTACTTAACCCCCCCTCTCCTCTTATTTCCCAACCTGTATATGCTCCACTCTTTTCTCCTCTGTTCTCTTTTTTCTTCTCTTTCCTATACTATAATCTTCCATTAATGTTTTTTATCATTTCGATCTAAACTTTATTTCTTTCTCATCTTTTTAATCCATTTCCTACCCATTCCTTGTTCAGTTATTCTGTTCTTCCTTTGCCCATTTTTTTCCTCTTTACATTTTTTTTTCTGATCCTTACATTTCCTCTCCTCTTCTCTTCTCTCCTCTCCTCATTTTTCCCTCCTCTCCTCTCTTACCCATTCTTTATGATTTGAAGGCTCATTTGTTAAAAGGTGTAGAGCACTCTCAGCCTCCCCATAGCCTCTTCCTGTCTCTTTTTTGTGGGCTTTGGAAATATAATTTTCAATTTTTAATTTGATTCATTTAGATTTGATCATTAATCAGCGCTGGGAGAGAGTTAATTTGGTGGAAAATAGATGAGGTAGTTAGAGAGGGCTCTTTATGAAGTGAGCTCAGCACAGCACTGGATCTTTTAGATATACGGAAAAGAGAAATAGAAAAATTGAGTCTGAGTCTGCAAGTTAGAGTTTGTGTGTGGTAGAGAAAAAGTGTGTGTATGTTTGTTTTGTATGCCAGAGAGACACAAAGTAGAAGAGAAGAAGTCTGCCTCCCTAAAATTGCTGTACATTGGATCTTTAAACATCAATAAATCGTTATCATATTCATGTTATTGAGTAAACAACACTGTCACTGAGAAGGCTGTCAACCTCTTCCAGACTCAGTGTTGTGTTTTTTACATTGAAAATCCAGTGAATTGCTTTATTGCAGAAAGTCTAAATGCACAGATAAGGGAGAGGGCTGTTCTTTCAACATTTGACAGAAAAGAATCTACGAATGCACAAACAGTATCTGAACCACTGGTTTGAGAGAAAAAAGGCTAGAAATTGTCTATAGGTTCATTTTTATAGCAAAATGGCACATTTAATTTGACAGTGGTATAATTACATTTACAAAAACTACATGTATCTCTCCTGCTCAGTTATGTGTGTTTCAAGTAGTTTCATTACACCCCAAAACACTTTTTTCCCACTTCTGGTTTATTTGCAGAGACCAATTATGTAGAAATACGTTTTACTGCCTCACCAATGACTGTAAAAAAAAAAAAACGTTAGATGATAGACACGGTCATTGTTTCCGTGTTTTTACCTAAATTCTGGTAGATGGGAATTGTCTATTACTGTTCCAGAATCCAACTAAACCAATCATTTTCAACAACACTATATGGATGTGAATTAATATAGTTTATAGCTCCATTTATTGCCCATGACCCTCTCTTTCATTCAGTCTTTATTCATCGTCCCCATCTAAATGTCTACCTTTTGCCTTGCCTCTGTGGTCCTCTACCTTTTCTAACTCTTTCTGCTTTCTCTCTGTCTCCCTCTCCTTTTCTGACCAGCCACTGACCCAGGTAGTGACTGAGCAAGCTGCTTGTCAGGGCTTACCCAAACACAACATGAGTGTGTGGGTTAGAGAAACATAGACGGCGTGTAAATGTGTGTGTGTGTGTGTGTGTGTGTGTGTGTGTGTGTGTGTGTGTGTGTGTGTGTGTGTGTGTGTGTGTGTGTGTGAGAAGGAGAAAACAGAAAATGTGTGTGAGTGGGTTTGTACCCCCTGATGTTAAGAGTTTCTTGACCGTTTGCTGACACTAGCCCCCCCACTGTACCTGGACTGTCAGCCCTTCTGTCTACCTATCTCCATCTCAAGCGCACACACACACACACACACACACACACACACACACACACACACACACACACACACACACACACACACAGGCACGCACACCCATGCACACACACACAGATGCGTGTCATGTTCAGTTCACTGAGCAGAATGCCTCTTGTGTTAGTTTGAGGTTTCTAAATGAAAAATGTGCATACTCATGTGACTGTAAGATACTTTGAATTAAAGCAGCCACCAAAATGTACATATGTATAAAACGTAAATAAAACAAGCAAACAGATTCAGTTATAACCACGTCTAAATGCTTCCTGATGCCCAAACATGCTCTCTGACATGTTTTTTTCTTTGTTGTGAAATCTTTCTGTAAAATCTCTTAGGTGTGTTGTCCTGAACATGGTCAGCACATTTTTGAGAGGATTTACATCTGTGAGTGAGCAGATCTCCCTCTTGCTCTCTCGTTCCTTTTGCCCTCCCCTCCCTCTTTTTCTCTCTATCTATATATTTAAATCAAATCCTCAATCAGTGGTGCTGTTGGAGTTAATATTGTTTTTGGTTTAACTTCATATTATTGTAGTGTAGTCAGTAACTGAGCTTATTGTCAACAACATCTCAAAAATATTGCTTTGCATACTGTTGTTTAAACCAACACCATTCAGATTGCAGATCAGTTACTCACTTGCCTGTTAACTTAATCAGTGGCTAATTACAGTGGCTTTAAATCTTCAATAACAGTAAATTCCAATTCCATACTTCAAAATACCTTTTCCTCCCCTCTCACCTCTACTTCTCAGATCACTCATTCAAGCAGCATGCCCAATATTAGGATACATTTTTAATTCTCAGACAGTCTGTTGACAAAGTTGCTATAGGTGGGTTCTTGGTGTCTGTTCAGCATTAGTGGTTTTCACTGGTTGTTTTAATTCCCCATTCACTTGTATTTATCTCAATAACACCACTGCTGCTGCTGCTGCTGCTGCTGCTGCTGCTGGTGCTAATTTACATGATACCCATTAACAATAGTTAACATAAAGTAGCCTGAAACCTTATTTTATTTATTGTACAAAAAGTAAAATTAACACTTAAATTACATGAAGTAGGAGAGAGCTCTCTCTGCAGCCTTTTTGCATCCCTTCCACAAATTATGTTATTCATTTCTGAATGTTATATACAACATAATAGCCTTGGTTCATTTTGAAACATTTGACAGCCCTCTTACATTCCTCCTTTCCTCTCCTCCTCCAGGGTACATGACACCTCTGTCTTCCTTATCCATCTTTAAGTGGTAACCACGGTAACATCCAATCCCCTAAGAGATAGGCCTAATTAAATTAGGAGTCCTTTGTGTCAATTAATTAACGAGACAGAGAGAGACAGAGATTGGGCAAGAGACAGGAAAAGAGTCAGAAACCCAGGGAGACAAAGTGAGTGAGAGAGAGAGAGAGGAGGGAGAGAGAGAGAGAGAGAGAGAGGCCTTTTACTCAGATAGTGTCCCTATAAATTTGTCTTGTTGTAGAATAAAAGAGGCAAGTGAGTTTAGCAAGCTTGACAGTAACATAAAAGTGCCTGCATGCATAACAGACACACACATACACACATGCATGCACTGCTGAAACAGCACAATTATCACCACTTCACACTCATATGTCATGTAACCTTCCTCCGTTCCACACTCTTTCTCTTCATTTCCGTGCTCTCTTTTTATAGTTCTTGCATACCAACAGATTTGTTGATTTTTTTGTCTTGTTGTTAAGTAGTCAAAAAGGTCAAAGACTCAAAGTGTTGTGCACAATGTGTTGACGCATACTTCTTCTCTATGTCATTTTTTACAGGTGTTCGTCTGGACAGGGTTCGTGGTGGGAGACAGAAGTATAAACGCCGGATAGATGCGGACAACAGCCCATACCTGAACCCACAGCTGGCTTTACCCCCCAAGAAGCCATGTAAGAACACACACAAACAAACGCACTCTGACTGGTAACAGTATCTGTAATAACCCTTTTCTGTTTGAAGATAAGCAATGATTCTTTAGGGCAGGAATTTGCATACCGTCCTCAGGACACTGTAACTCATACTCGTATTCATGCGCTAGATATATGACAACAGCGTCTGACACTGTGTGCAGAGGGAACAATGAGCAACAACAGGAAATATTCCAGTTCAAGCATATTGTATCTCTATGTACTCGCTGTGTTCATGTAATATACTGGAGTCGTTGTTTAGAGACCAGAAGTACAAAGGGCTACCTTTCCATTACTTGCTATCCTAATGGAGACAGTTGGACAATAAAAATGTTGAAACACACACACAGGGACACACAAACACACACACATAAATAGACACAAGGTAGTGAGAAGCCCATCTGTTTGGGACTAAGTTTATCTCCCTGTTTCTACTGCTACCAGTTTGGGGTCATAACATTTTATATGTGTAATATTTCACTATAAAGGTACTCATTTAGCTCCGGCTGGATTGGCTGCATTTTTTTTAAAGAATAAAACCATCGCCAAAGACTGATGATTGAAAAATTAACAAGGGAGAGAGTGAGTGAGTGTGACTTGAAGAGAGTGAGTGAGTGTGACTTGGAGAGAGCAAAAGAGAGAGAGAGAGAGGGCCAGTGACTGAACTTAAATGAGAAGGTTTCTCAGAGAAGGAGAAAGAGAGAGAGACAGAGAAGGGGAGGAAGGGAGAGAGAGAGGAAGGGAGGGGGACCAGCCAGAAACCTAATCCGGATTAAATCCAATCTGGCAAGCACATCAAACTAGAGTTAGCTCTCTAGCTAACCGTCTGCTCACACACACAAACACACACACAAACACACACACACACACACACGCAGTGCAGATTGAGCAGTGTTTAGCAGCTTGGTCCCCAAAGCCCATTTTGCTTAAAGCTGGAGCATATTCTGCTTTAGGCCAATATGCTGAATGGCTGCACAACAGCTTACTGGGACTTCTGCACTACTAATCATTGAAATGATGGGATAATGTGAGTGTGTGTACACACTATGTGTGTAGAAATATTTAACTCTGTAGGCCTATCATTACTTTTATCAAGCATTTGTCGCATTTTGGAGAGTACATGAGTCATTCACTTAAATCACCAGTGACCACTTCAAATGCTTATTCCTTCCCATTAAATCCTTTTGTTAATTTACAGTATTTACCACAACTCTCTCTAGAAACAACAAACTACACTTGAAAAATATAAAGAGTAGACTTCCTACATCTCTCTTTTTCTTTCTCTCTCACACACAGTCAATACACAGAAGATCTCTCTGTCCCTCTGTCTCTCTCTCAGATACACGCACATAGCCTATCTATCTGTAGCCCAATCCCTAGCCTCAGCGTCCCCATTGATTGTGTGAGAGCAGAACAATAGCCCAGGGTTTGGAAATGGGCTTCCATTGATTCTAATTAGGGAAACATTAAATAAGATTTACCCACAGATACTGCAGTGTGACTGGGATTGGTTGGGCCCATGCGAGAGGGAGACGAGTGGAAAGAATATATACATACGCGCGTGTGTGTGTGTGTGTGTGTGTGTGTAACAGAATTGGGGGCGGAGAATGCTAGATCAATACATAACTCATCCCCCCAACTCTGTTTCACTCCCTTTTGCTGTTTATCCCTATCTAGCTGTCACTCTCTCGACTCTTCCTGTCTGTCTTTTACAATCTGTCCACGGCTCTATTTCTACCTGTCTCTCTCCTCCCATTTTGTCATTGCTTATCCCTCTCTTTTTCTTCTCCTTTATCCCTCAGTCCTCTCTTGCTCTTCTATCCTCTGTTATTATTCCCATGCTTGATTAGTCAGTGGATTAATTTGGAAGCAGGGTATCAGTCTGTTACTAATGGGCCATAGAGATCTCATCACCACATGTCACTATTACCAGCTGAGCTGTTTGGCTTTCAGTATTATCTTTTCCTTCTGTGTGTATCAGCGAAGCTTCTTAAGGCTGTGATACAAAATACAACACTTTGGGAAACCTGAATTACCAGCAGTAATCGCCTTTAATCACACCTTGGAGTATCTCCTAATCTGGAACCATTTCAATCATTTTTTGATCTTTTGTCAAGTGCATTTTCATGTTTAGTCCTGCCAAATTACCGGTATCAAATTATCCAATTACCTTGTGCTGGATTGTTGAAAATTCCACAAGACATTACAAGACATTGTAATCAAGCATCTTCTCATCAAATCTTATTCCCATTGCATATTTTTATGACATTTTTATAAAACTGACAGAGCAGTCCAAAAACTATTAAAATATCTTTTAAAACTCACTTTGCAGATAATGTCAAAATTGGACTTTTTTGACTTCTATACATTACTTCTGAAGTTATTTTAAAGTTAATGTGTGTTTGACAATTTATATTTTAAGGTTTTTCAGAGATCCTTACAAGATTCTTCCAGCTGTTTCTTTGTGTTTGTATGCAATATACATGAAATGTACACACTGTATAATAGACAGTATACTGAATGTACTGTGTGTTCAATTTATGCAATATATGCGTTTCTTTCTTTTTGTCCAATGTCAGCTGCTTTTTTGCAACATGAGGAAATACCCCTAGACATATGTGTTACCTTGCAGGCCATGTTGTCAGGGACTTATGACATATACAGTACCTTTCACATTTTTGCACCAGATTGGTGTGGAACAGCTTGGAGCCTAATACGGCAAAAATTCACCATCTCTCTGTCTCTGTGTCTTTCTCCTTGTCTGGTGGTCATGTCAGTTGCCTTTGGCTGCCTTGCAGATAATAAAATCGTCTCTCACCTGCTGGTGGCCGAGCCAGAGAAGATTTACGCTATGCCTGATCCAACAGTACCAGACAGCGACATCAAGGCCCTGACTACGCTTTGTGACCTGGCGGACAGAGAGCTGGTGGTCAACATCGGCTGGGCCAAACATATCCCAGGTAGGAAAAAAAAATTGCTGAACCCTGACTTTCACACTGAACCTAACCTTACTCCATGTTGAGACCATATCACACACACAGAAGGCAGTATAGGAGATTTCATATTCACACCCACATAGACATACAGTATAGACACACAAACATCTGCTGTGTGGCAGAGAAGAGGTATGAGGTTGAGGTTGCTCCAGATGCAGTTCAGGCACACTTACATAATGTATACACAAATGCACCTGGTGCTGAGGTGCGACCTTTCACCCTAATCCTTGCACTCAGACAGTTTGAACCATTTTTTCCTCCAACTGACCAACCACATACCCTCACTGCTATCATACTGCCCCCCCCCCCCCCCCCCCCCCCCCTTTCCGGACACACACACACACACACACACACAGAAAAGGTGACCTTTTAAACCAAACAGTCCAATACCTTTACCTCCAACATGTGTGTGTTTTTGTGAGTGTGTCTTCACCTGCAGTCTCCGCACCATATATCCTACACAGCCCTTTGAAACCACAGCTTTTACCCTACTGGTGAACTACTATATGTGTTGTGTTGTTGCTTTGTTGTGTGAGATTTACAAAGGTTATTTGGACACAGTAAAATACTATCAGTTAATTATTGTATGAAGTCATGAGCGTTAATTCAAATTTTTGTGTGGCAACAAAATTAACATAGTATTTAAGATAACTTTACAGCAGAAAGTGTATGTCTTAATATATGTAATAACCGTTGATGTCTTATTTAGTCCATAGTGCATCAGTGTCCTACAGGTTCATCACTACAACAGAAGAATCTAATCTAATCATCTTAAAACAACCCCCCTTTCTCTCTTAATCTATTCAAAATTAGACCTGGACTACAAGAACAGAAAATTAGAATAATGTCCGAGCAAAATAAGAAAACAACAAATGATAAATGCATATACCCATAGAAGCTCAAACAAAGAGGAAGACAGGGAGCAAGATGAGAGGAAGAGATGAAAAAATGTTCTGTGTTTGGTTTTAGTGAGGGTTCCTGCTGTGACAGCAGAGAGGAGGGAAGAGCAGTGTCTCAGATTAACACAGATTAGCACAAAGGTTAGCGTCATTGTCGACTGGAATTACCCCCTGTTGCAACTGCTCAAACAGTATAGGGGGTTGTAAGAGTATAGGGGGAAATACCAGATGAGAGACATAAATACCACTCACTCACGCTGCATAAATCTATAACAATAAAGTCAATGAAGTTGGATAGCAGGGTCTCCAGATGATATGTATTATATCATATCAATAAATGTGAAAATAAAAGAAGAGAAAGAGAAAAAACAGATAGAGAGATAGAGAGAAAGAGAGATGGGAATATACATAGCTTCTTGTTAGTGTATTGATCTATGTGCTGCTATATGGACAGTAAGCACACATATATATTGATCCATATACCAAGTATAGCTCTTTGAATATTTATTTTTCTCTTTCAAAACAACATATAACCTCATTCCAATACTATCTCATTTCCTCTAATCTCTCTGTGACCCCTTTTCTCCTTTTTTGCTTTCTCTTATAATCCATTTACCTCTTCCCCCTCTCTCTCCTCACCTCTGGGACGTACCTACAGTATATAACACACATAAACAAAGAAAACGCACAGACAAACACATAATATACACACCAACATACACATGATGTAAATTGAATCTATTGTTTTGCATTGGTTTTGCCTTTTCTCTTGCTCACTACTTTTACTGGTGAGTGGACTGAGTTAGCCAGGTTATGTGTTGGGCTGAGTGTGTGCATGTTTTGTGTGTGAGAGTGTGTATGTGCAGCTTTCTGTGTGGAGGGAGCGAAGCGCAACGATTGCTCGGCGGAGGAGAGAAGATGGCGTGATTAGATGAACGAGAAAGGCAATCCACTGCTCACAGAGAAAAGATAGAACTCTTCATCTTCCAAGTATGTGTGTGTGTGTGTGTGTGTGTTTGTGTGTGTGTGTTTGTGTGTGTGTGTGTGTGTGTGTCTGTGAACACCTTATGAAATCCTCACTGTTTACAACACTGAACACTGATCTAATACTCACACACAAACACACACACACACACATACAATGTACACACACAAGTGATCTACTGTTCACTCAGGGTGGAAAGGATTGTCAGAAAGAAATACGACTCCTAAACATTCTTTATCAGCCTCTTACACAAACACACACACACACATACACACACACACGCGCACACACACACAAAAGGCAAACAAAAAAAGAGTCTACAATGACTTAAGTCTTGAATAGAACAGAACCGAATAGACCTGTTAACCTTTTTGCAGCCGTCTTGTTTCACATCTTGTCAAGTGTGTGTGTGTGTGTGTGTGTGTGTGTGTGTGTGTGTGTGTGTGTGTGTGTGAAGACTATGTGAACAGTTTACATGCGAACACACACGCACACGTCTTTGCTCGCCATGGTACAGTAATTTTTTTAATCAAATTGATGGAGAGAGACAGAGAGACAAAGAGAAAAAAGAGGCAAAGAGAGGAGAGGTGAAGCCAATTTATGCTTCATGATATGGCTGCGCAGCGCTGCATACACACACACACAGCGCAAACGCGCACACACAGGCTGCTAACAGTGGTAACAACGTGTCAAGGCGAGCGCCAGGCAGCTAATTTGAAGTCATTAGATGTCTGCCGTACTGGCAACAATTTGTTACGCTCACACACGCACAAACACACACACAAAAACACATCACATACACACACTGAGTTAAGAGCCGTCTGCGGATAGCGAGGAGGCTAAATTGTAAACTAATTTAAACATCACTCAGCGTTAGAGAGGCTGCCTGCAAGACAGGCCCCCGGATAACAAGGCTAGGGTACGTGTGTGTGCATGTCTGTGTGTGTGTTGCTAGTCATGTTTGCCACACAGAGTCGCCCAACCTTAGAGACTTGTGACAACACACACACACACAGACATACACACATATACACAGAAATCTCTTTGATTGGTTCTTTTATTCTAAAGCCCTGTCTGTTTATGTGTGTGTACACGCTCATTTCCATACTGATATGGCCTATATGCAAACATTTGATGTGTCATTAGGAGAGGAAAATGAGGTTTCAGACACAGTGTGCGTCTCTTGCTATCCCACAAGGAATGGGGCACAATCACACACATGCACCTCACACATTCACATGTGTGTTTGAAACACATGTAAATGCATGCAAACACAGAAACACAAGAATTAGAAGCATTTTTGCTGACTCAAACTGTGGGCAACACATAGACAAGTGATCCCATACATACACACTTGTTTACATGCAGAATATATACAATATGTGAGCAGTAAAGGGTCAGACTCTGAAAACTGTGGGTATGTGGAAATGTCATCGGAGTTGTTAGGGTGTGTAAGGCCTCACCATCCAATAATATGGATCATTTTAATAGCACTCAAAGAGACAACTCTAGTTGCGTATTAGGCTGCATGTCGTGTGTGTGTGTGTGTGTGTGTGTGTGTGTGTGTGTGTGTGTGTGTGTGTGTGTGTGTGTGTGTTTTGAAGGAGGACCGAGGAGCAGTCAGGTGAGAGGAGGAGGAGATGAACAGCAAATATTTAAACAGGAGCGAATGAGAGAGTGAATTAAAAGAAAGCCCATTCAAAATGAGCCATTTATCTGTCTGTAGAATTAGTCTCTTTCTCTCAATATACCTCTCTCTCTCTCTCTCTCTCTCTCTCTTTCTCTCTCTCTCTCTCTCTCCATAATAACTAAATGACTACCGGGCACTCATGCTAGCAGCTCTTATCTAGACTCGCAGACACAAAGGGAAAGACAGACAGGCGAGCACTTGACTTGACGAAAGAGCAGAATGAACGAACAAATGAATGAATCAACGAATGAGAGCCAAAACCTATAACACAGTCTATTTTACCAGAACCAGGGGCCTTGCCATTAGTGCTTTTTTACAACCCCTCCCCCATTCTTTCTTTATTCAAGAAAGAAATTGCTCTCGGGCCACCCCCCGCTTCCCCTCTACTATTCTCTTGCTTCCCTATCTCTTCTTACTTGGTCTTTCTTTTCTAACAGTCTTTCTCCCTTTCTTTCTTCGCTCCCCTTTCAATTTTGACACTCAGGATAAGCGGTCTATGTGTCGGCAGCAACGTGGTATGATTGAGCTGTAAAAAAGGGGAAGGGAGGTGGAAGGGGGCTGCTGTCTGACCATTCATTTAATCGGTCTTTATGGAGATATGGGAGAAGGGGTTTGGTTGGTGGTGGTGATGGGATAGTAAGTGAAGAGGAAAGTCCTCTTGCCTCATGTTCTGCATGCATCCATTTTTCTGGTCTCATTCACTCAATTATTAGTCTGTCTCTTTATCATTTCCTCTTCTCTTTCTTCCTCTTCCTCTTTGTATGGATTTGGGGATGAGCATGGGGGTCTCGATGATTGGTAACCTCTGTCTCATGTCAGTGATTGCAGTTGTTGGCACAAACTTCCTCTCTGCTTCTGTCATGGGTTTTCTTTTTTTGGTGAACATTGAAAACATGCTGAAAGTGTGTTTCCGCTGTTTTAGTTTAGTGCTGCTGTGAACAGCCCACTTCCTGTTTTGCATCATGTAACACAATGCAATATTCAGTCAAGTGGCCTTTAGGGATGGCTAGTCTTCTCCAAACAGCAATAAAAACTTTAATGGGCAGCGATTTTGTAGTTTATAGAAATTTGACTTGTTTATGATCAAGGGATAAGATTTGGTTTATACAGAGTGATTCTCCCATTGATTAAATTGGGAGGGCACTTCCTACAGCCCAGATATTTAAAATATATTTTAAAACACCTCATGAGGAAATAATGCTTTTGCCAAAGCGTCTCTCTTCCTGTTTCCAGGCAGTTGCACAAGGAAGGATCAGAGTGTCTTCCTAGTCAGGAGGAAACCAGTACTATTGGAAACTCTTCTGTTTAGTTATGTAATACTACATTTGGAGTTCCTCAAGGCTCAATCTTAGGTCTCATTATTTTTTTATTTTTTCTACTAATAACAAAG